ATGTGATTATGTATTAATAATATACATGAAAAAATACGAAATAGCTTATCATAATTATGCAGAAGAAAAGCGCGAGCATAACGTGCAAAAATAATTTATTTAAACCCTGCAAGTGACATTGACCTTGACATTGACATTGACCAATCATTCTGACCAATCAGAATGTCTGGTTTGTTACTTTCTTTGCATTGAATTAACCCTCTTCTGCACTGAATTACCTGAAAAACTACATTTATCTTAACCAATCAGAACTGAGAAATTTTTTCATGTATATTACTAAAGTTGAAATTTTTAAAACTTAGTGGTCATATGATAAAATGCTTATTGACCTACACTCAGTCAAAAGTACATAGTCTTAAATGAATAGAACAGTGTCACAAAGCTTTGCCGTACCAACGACCTTACGGAGAGCACTGCGTTTTTTAAATACATCTAATAACGAGAGCGATCTGAGTATGGAAAAAATAGGAAATTTTATTATGGAAATGTGGCTATTATATTCTTTTGGGTTCGAACAATGACTGAATGATTGTTTTGTGTCCTGTGGCAACTCACTTTTTCTCTCCAACTCGTATGAATGGGTACAGCGGGTCTTAGGGAGATCTGACGAAAGTCTGAGGGGTAACCCTGCTACGGACTGGCAACCAGTTACCATTACTCCTTGTCACCTCATGCATCCAGTAAAAGCTAGATGAGATAGGCCTTCTGACTCCTAAGCAAACTTAGCTCTTTTAATCACCGCTAAATACTACTTTACTTATATAGGATCATCCTCAAATCCACCTTCCACAGTTGGACCTAGTCACGTCACGATGGTAACAGAAAGGAAAGATAAACCAACTGGTGGTTCACCTGGAATAAAGGTAAATTACATCAGTGCGCTCTGATTGTTCAATTCAATGTCTGACGTTTGCGTATGGGTGTACGCTGCTGATCCTTATGCTTCTTTCTTGTTAAGCAAACTCCCGCGTGCATCCATAAGTCAATAGTGTACACTGTGGTGTTTACAATTTGTTAAAATAGCTCGTTCATGATGTTAGTTTGGTGAAATAGGTTGTAAGCAATATGTGCTTCCTTGCTATCGAGTGATAGCTTTATGTTTCGCACTCGTAGGGCCGTGTGAACAAATAACCAAAAAGTAGTTTTGTTTGGTAAATGTTTCAATATGTATCATTCGACTTTGTTTCAAACTTGATGAAGAGCATTTTCTATCTTTTGTCGAAGTATAAGCAAAATAGCTTAAAAGTGTTTCCTACGGGATATTATCCATTCGAGAGTTGCAAGACCAAAAAAACAAACAAACACCCAATCATGAATCAAGTCACGACCGGTTTAGTTTTGTATCTCATTGGTTGACATATGAAGGCGCGACTCATCTTGATCAAAACAGAGCAATAAAGATAATGCAATTATAGAATCCTTGATTACTTGCGATACAATTGAAATTTACCATGTATGTTCAGGCCCAGTGTAAATGAACCAAGCGAAACCTTTTGCAATAAACCACTTTCATAAATGGCTGCCGGATTAATATTCTTTTGTTTAAATTTAAATTAGCCCTTCTGGCCTCGCTTGAGATAATGTATTCTTTTGAATTTTGTGCTGGAGAACGAGGCCAGAAGGGCTAATTTAAATTTAAACAAAAGTATATTAATCCAGCAGCCATTTATGAAAGTGGTCTATTGTACATCTCGAGTACTTTCTAAGTGTAAAAACTATTCTTTGAATTTAACTGAATTTTTTAAATGTATTTTCACTTTTCAAGGGAGGTGTGGATAACGGAGTTCGTGAAGAAAATTTCACTGGGCAGGACAGAGGAGTAGCAGGAAAGAATTACAGTGTGGTCGTAATTGGTGTGAGCTTGTCAATAGTGATGGGAATTGCTCTTATTTGTGTTGTAATGCTGAGAAATGGAGGCCCCCTGTGGTGAGTTATGATCAAAATACCAATTCTCCTCACACTCTTCCCAACAATCTGTTATCATTTGCACTTTGAATCAATCCTATAGCTTACGAGCAGGTGTCCTTCGCATGCAATAAAGAGGCTTTTTGGCTGTTTTTAAAGAAAACTGATTTTTAGTTTTTCAGTTTTTATTTTCTTAATAATTTGCTTTTCATTCTCAGGTTAAAACTTCAACGGCGTCCAAAAGGTGAGAAATGCATTTTAAATTGTGTGGATAAACTAGTATTCAAATATTTAACATTAATTATGTTAGAGGAGCTGTATCAAGATTTGTGCATTATAGATTACTTCTCCAACATTTCACAAGTTTCTTAGTCTATTTTTAACTTTAACTTTAATCGTTCCTCTTGATTTTTATTTCAATTTTGCCGCCGTTTTATCATCACACTGAACGAATACATTGTGGTGGAAGGCAATTTTGCACAAACCTACTCCGAGCCGCAGCTTAGGGATCAAGCATTATCTATCGTGGGGGAGGGAGGTCACATGGTTTTCAGGGGGAACGGAAGGGAGGATCAGTCGTCTCTAATAGAGTTGAAAAGGGTGGCTATAAAAAATTGACAGCCATTGAAAGGGGATCATTAGAATACTGCAAAGCTATAGTTGCAACACAACTATACCCCACCTGTTTACGTCAAAGTTAAAATCTTGACAATTTTCATCAATTTTTCTACAAGAGTTTAAGATATATAGTAGTTTAGTGTGCTTGTATTAGAAGCGCGTTCATTTAAAGCCAAGCCTCACTTTGAGCTGGACATGTACAGCTGAAGATTAATTATCCTTTGTCATTTTTATTTTGCCACGATAATCATATTTTCTTGGTTGATTTGCAGAGCCACCTTATCAGGTAAGCCAATCAAAATTTCCATCATTTGTAAGTCATCTTATAAAGTTATACACGTTTTACGCGTATAACCCATGTTTAACTACACGTTTAACTCGATCCCTTGCCTGGTGCGAATCGCAGAAAAATGCGCCGCTCTCCTTAGAGCACGCGCATTGGCGTTAGATGTGCTCTTTCTATGTCAGCCAGGTTCAGTCTCAGTCTCTCTCGACCCAGTGACTTCATTTCCAGTGTCTCTCTACTTGTCGCTTCAGTTGGGGTGGAAAAGAGAGACTCTGGTAACAAATTTGAAGTCAAAATCTTTTTATTTTCTCATCCCATGACTGATGCCCTGTATTTCGGAGGTCACCACTTTCCCCTTCATTTTCCAGATGAATTCCAACGTACGGATTGCATTGTAATGTGTCCAACCTCTTAGTTTCCCATTTTGTGTCCAATCCATGACCATTTGCTCCTTCTCCTGCAACAACAATGCTAAGGGACCAGTCATTGATCGCCTGGAGGATTCTTGGAGGGTTACATGGTTTTCGGAGGGGGACGGAGGGGGCATCAGTTGTTACTAACAGAGTATAAAGGGGGGGGGAGGGAAATGATGTTTATTACCAATGAGCAGGTCGGAATTTCAGGTGAATTTCAATGTGACACAGCCAAAATCCTCCGACCCCCTATCCAAGGGGATAAATAATGACCTAGAGACGGATCTTGGGGAAGGGCATAGGGAGCCCGTCCCCACCTCCCTTATTTCGGTTAAAAAAATTAAACGCAGAGGGAAGAAAAGCCGGCATGTGAACACGCACAAACAAAAGCGTCCCCCTCCCCTTAAACTCAAAGTCCTGATCCACCACCGTGACCGGTCCCTAACGATTATTTCTTCCCTTCTTAACAGGAGCCAAGGAAACCAGT